ATTAGAGGATGATGCCGCCGATCCGTATAGTGGCCTTGTGATACAAGCACCACCCCAAAACCTTGTCTCTGAGTGTGAGAGTCTGAGGGAATATTCTAGTCCTAGACTGTATTGGGGACTAGTAGAGAAATTGAAGGAGCCAGGCAGAATAAGCAAAGTTAATAGGGCAGGTAAATCTGACCATAGTGTGGCACATGCATATATGAAAATGGCACAAAGACAGATGTTTTCAATTAACGTGCTAATAATTGTGATATATTTTTAAGATTTTAATTTAATTTCATATATACAATCTAATTTGGGAATGAGGGAGTAAAACTATTCCTGTTTGCGCATGACGTGATATAGAATAACCTAAAATTCACACACACAATCTGTTCAAACTGATAAATGAATTTAGTACTGTTGCAGGATACAAAGTCAGCATCTAAAAGTCACCAGTATCTATTCACCAACAGTAAATCAAAAGAAAATATTCAGGAAGAAGTATGATTTATGATAGCTACAAAAAATAAAATACCTAAGAATAAATTTAACCAGTGAGGTAAGATAACTCCACAATGAAACCTAAGAAGAATAGATGCTTTCAAGGAAAAATATACAGAATGATCAACAAATATTTAGAAAGAAAATTCTCGAGATCAGTAATCATCAGAAAATGCAAATGAAACCCACAGTGAGATAATCTTTCCCTGGTAGAGCAATTTTCAGAAAGATGAAAAATAAAAAATGCTGACAAGCTTGTGGAGAAAACAAGAGCTCCTCACATGGAGTTGGTGGGTGTGTAGATTAGTACAGCTGTTACCAAAAGCATTACAGACATTCCTCGGAAAACTAGAAAGAAATAGAGCAAATGTATGATCCAGAAATTTTACTTCTGGGTATATTTCTAGAAGAGTGAAATCAGTATGTTGAAGAGATATGGGCATTCCAATTTTATTACAGCACTATTCACAAATGCCAAGATACAGAATCAGCCCAAGTGTCCATCACTGGATGACTAGATAAGGAAAATGTGGTGCATTTACACAGTGGAATAGTACATAAAGCAACAGTGAAATCTTGTTATTTATTGCAACGTGTGAGGCTGGAAAAAATTATATCATGAAAGGAATCAGGCACTGAAAGACAAATGTTACATTTTCACTTATATGTGAAAGATAAAAAACTAATCTTATACAAATAGAGAATAGAATAGTAATTACCAGAAACTGAGAAGGGTAACTGGGTGGTGGGATGAGCAGGAATAGGGGTGCAGTTGGAGAGCGAAGGAACAACTTCTTTTATTTTTTATTTTTTGGTACCAGGGCTCGAACTCAAGACCTTGCACTCCCACCAACCCCGCCAGGATTTGTTACTTGTTGATTTCTTGACAGCAGCCATTCTTCCTGGGGTGAGGTAGAATCTCAGTGTTGTTTTCATCTACACCTCTCGAATGACCAGTAATGTTGAACATTTTTTAATATATTCATTTGCTGCTTTTACTTCTTTATCTGAGAAATGCCTGTTCATTTCAGATGCCCATTTTTGAATAGGGTCTTTATATGGGAGGGGATGATTTTGTTGAGTTCTTTGTATATTCTAAATAGTAGTCCTTTGTCTGAGGAGCAGCTGGTGAAATTTATTTGCCACATTATAGGTTGTCTCTTAGCTCTGTTGGTGGTTTCTTTTGCAGTGTAGAAGCTTTTCAGAGAGGTGAGATCCCAGTTGTAGATTATTTGTGCTAGTTCCTGTGCTACTGAGGATTTGTTCATAAAGTCTTTTCCTATGCCATTGTCTTCGAGAGTTCTGCCTACCTTATCTTCCAGAAAATTTAGTGACTTTTAAAATTTAGATCTTTAATCCACTTGGATTTTAGTTTAGTACGTGGTGAAAGATTAGGGTCTAGTTTTAATCTTTGGCAGTTTGAGACCCTGTTTTTCCAACACCATTTATTAAAGAGGCTATCATTCCTCCAGTGAGGATGGTTGGCTCCTTTGTCAAAGATGAGGTAGCTGAATACATCTGGAGTTGTTTCTGTATCTTCCAATCTGTTCCACTGATCCTCAGGTCTGTTTCTTTGCCAGTACCATGCTGTTTTTATCACAGTGGCTTTGAAGTATAGTTTGAAATTGGAAATTGTGATACCCCCTGCTGTGTCTCTGTTGCCTAGAATTGATTTTGCTGTTCTAGGTCTCTTCTGGTTCCAAATGAATTTTTGGGTTATCTTCTCTAGTTCTGTGAAATATACTGTTGGAATTTCAATCAGGATTGCATTGAAGTTGTGTAGCAGTTTTAGAAGTATGGCCATTTTCACTATGTTGATTCTTCCTACCCAGGAGCAGGAGATATCTTTCCATTTTTTTACATCCTCTTCGATCTCTTTTTTCATAGTGCTGTACTTTTCAGTGTAGAGGTATTTTGCTTCTTTCATTATATTGATTCCTATAGATACTTTTATACTATTGTGAAAGGAATTGTTTCCCTAATTTCTCCCTCAGTGAGTCTGTTATTTGTGTACAAGAAGGCTATTGATTTTTGAGCGTTGATCTTGTATCTAGATACTCTGCTGAAAGTGTCACTTAAGTCTAGAAGTCTTTTGGCAGACTTTTTGGATCTTCTATGTAGAGTATCATATTGTCAGCAAATAATGACAGTTCAACTTCTTCCTTTCCTGTCTTTATTGCTTTAATTTCTTTCTCTTGTCTAATTGCTGTGGCTAATGTTTCCAGAACTATATTGAACAGGAATGCTGATAGTGACTGGAATCCTTGTCTTGTTCCGGATTTTAGTGTGAAGGTTTTCAGGTTTTGGCCCTTTAATATGATGTTGGCTGTTGGTTTTTCATGGGTAGCCTTTATCAAGTTGAGACAAAGATCATCTATTCCCATTTTCTGCAGGGTTTTTATCATGAATGGGTGTTGGATTTTGTCAAATGCTTTTTGTGGATCTATTGAGATGATCATATGGTTTTTGTCCTTGACTCTGTTAATATAGTGTATTGCTTTTATTGATTTACATTTGTCGAACTATCCTTGCATGCCTGGAATAAATATGGATTGTTCAGGGTGCATGATCTTCTTGATGACCCTTTGTATTCTGTTTGCCAGTATTTATTGTGGATTTTTGCATCTGTGTTCATTAGGGAGATTGGCCTGTAGTTCTCTTTTGTGGTTGTGTCTTTCCCTGGTTTGGGAATCAAAGTAACACTTGTATCCAAGAATGAATTTGGAAGTAGTGCTTCCTTTTCAATTTCATTGGAAAGTTTAAAAATTAGTGGCAGTAGTTGTTCTCTAAATGTCTTGTAGAATTCAGCAGTGAAGCCATCAGTGGGCTTTTCTCTGTTGGTAAACTTTTAATTACATTTTTCAATTTCACTGATTGTAATTGGGGTGTTTATAATTTTTTCATCTTCATTCAACTTTGGTAATTCATAAGTATCTAGAAATCTGTCCATTTCTTCTCTGTTTTCCATTTTATTAGAGTATAGATTCTCAAAGTAGGTATTGATGATCCTCTGGATTTCTGGTGTATCTGTTGTGACTGTTTTTGTTCCTAATTGCATGGATGTGAGCCCTTTCTTTCCTTTTTTTGACAGGGTCAGCTAAGAGTTTATCAATTTTATTTATTCTTTCAAAAAACCAACTCTTCAATTCATTTTTTAAATAGTTCTTAGTCTATAATTGCTCTTAGTCTCCATTGCATTGATCTTTATAGTTTCCTCCCATGTATGAGCTTTGGGTTTTTCCTGCTCTTCTTCTTCTAGAAACTTAAGGTTCAGCATTAGGTTATTTTAGCTCGCTCTGTTTTCTTAGTGTGGGCATTCACTGCTATGAATTTTCCACATAGAGCTGCTTTCATTGTGTCCCATAGATTCCTGTATATTTTATTGGCATTATCATTTATTTGTAAAAACTGACTAATTTCTTCTCTAATTTCCTCTGTGACCCATTGATTGTTCAGGAGAGTGTTGTTCTATTTCCATATGTTTGTGAAATTCTTAAGATTTCTTATGCTATTGGTCTCCAGCTTAATTGCACTATGGTCTGATAATATACATGGGATAACTTTGATTCCTTTGCATTTATTTAAACCTGTTCTATGAGCTAGTATGTGGTCTATTTTAGAGAATGACCCATGTGCAGCCAAAAAAAATGTATACTTTTTTTTTTTTTTTTTTTGGTACCGGGGATTGAACTCAGGTCCTTGAGCTTGCAAGGCAGGCCACCAAACTGCTGAGCTAAATCCCCAGCCCAAAGAATGTATATTCTGATTTTGTGGGGTGGAACACTCTGTAGATGTCTATTAAATATATTTGTTCAAAAGCTTGTTCAGTTCTCTTATTTCGTTACTGAGTTTTTGCCTAGATGATTTGTCTCTTTGTGATAGTGGGCTATTTACGTCCCCCACTACAATAGTATTTGTGATTATTTGGTTTTTCGTGTCCCTTAATATTTGTTTTATATAGTTGGGGGCATTAATATTTTGTACATACATAGTTATGATTGTCATCTCTTCCTCTTGGATTGTTCCCTTTATAAGTATGTAGTGACCTTCTTTGTCTCTTTTAATTATTTTTGGTTTGATATTTACTTTAGAATAAGATAGCTACCCCTGGTTTTTGTGGGCTTCTCTCGCATGGAGAACTGTTTTCTGTCCTTTCACTTTCAGTCTGTGGGTTTTTTTTTGCACAAGGTGTGTTTCTTGTATATAACATATTATTGGATTTTGCTTCTTAATCCATTCTGCCAGTCTCTATCTCTTGACTGGTGAATTGAGGCCATAGACATTGATGGATATAACTGATACGTATTGACTTGTCATTGTCATGTTTTTGTCCTGCTGTAGGCGCTTTTTAATTTTCCCCCCTGTACGTTTAGTTTCTTGGCTTGCCTAAATGATTTGTTTTTTGGGCCTCGTGGTGTTGTGACCTTCATTGCCTTTTTCTAGGATATTGTTTAGAATTGCTTGGAGTGCTGGTTTGGTATTCATGAAGTTTCTCATGTGTTCTTTGTCATGGGAAAATATTTGCTTCATGAAGTTGCATGTCATCCTGGCACAGGGGCTATGCTAGTCTTCTCTGTATTGTTCCAATTTTAGTATATGTGCTTCCTAACGAGCACCTTAGTTTGCTTTTTTATGACATGTGCCATGTGTTTACATAGATGTTTAGAGACCATTTTAATTATTTTTTCAGGGTTTTCTTTTCTTTCAGAGAAGACTATGTTTTGTACTGACAAATATGGATTCAACTCAAATGGTTTTCTTTTTAAAAAAAATTGGTTTATTTCACTAGACTGAAAGCACATTGCAAAATGTTACTAAGCCTTTGAAGCAGAGCTATAAATAGCTTTCAATATATTATGTATTATATATGATCTTTAATAATCAACAGAAGTAAATTCAATATGGTAGATACACTAAGCTTACTGGGTTCTCACATTCTCCAAATTAGTCTGCTCTCTAGAAATATGGTGGGGATCAGAGTGCTGGCCTCTTAGAGACACATTTACTAGTGCACTTGAACAGAAACACAGGCAGAATCATAAAATGGTAAATTACATGTTCAGATGCCAAACTGCACCACCAGATTGCTATTTACACCTGCATTCCCCAGCCAAAGCACACACTGCATTGCCTACTCCAAACAGATGTGAGAACACATTTTGTAGTCACAGCCTGACTGCTGGAAGTCATGGCCTTCACTGATGCACAATGAGGTTTCCTCTCTAATCATGATTGTGGCACTGTGGCCATTTTAGAATTATGATTTGAGAGATAGTCTTTCCTTACATGCTCGAGCTTCAAGGTGATTTCTTTTGCAAACCAGATAAACTACCACTGCAACCAAAGTAACGAGGAGAATAATCATTGGTGATAGTTTGTCATTTGGGACTTTTAAGGGCCTCAGATTATTCTTTTGGAAAGTTTAGTATGGGCAAGAAGAAGAAAATGAAAACAAAGGACTGAAACAAAATAGAAGTGCATAAAACATTTATTGGTGAAATTTTATCTTTTTTTGAGTTTTACATCAGGTTTTAAGTCAAAAAGACTTTCTGGCTGAAGAAACATGGCAGATTAAGAGAAGTCGAAGTAGTCATATACTCCAAAAGGTACTAGCAACAGCTCTTTGAAGCAGATATACTTCTTTGTCTTAGCATGGGAGCAAATCCAAATGTGCAGTGCACTGCAGGTAGAAGCAAGTAGGTCACATTTGGAATTTGAGAGAGACACTTGATGAAGGCCAGCATCTAAATTCTGGTAGACAATTCCATTGATAAGTGGATGGTATGGCAGAGTTTTTAAATTAAAATGAAATTAGTAAAGGAAAAAGCCATATAGATAAAATGATCATGATTACCTGGGTATGACTATCAAAACTGATCACAGCTTAGCTTTATGTAATAGACATTTGTATTGAACCATTTAGGAAAATAGGACTTGCTCTACTTAAGAAAGGACCTGTTCTTCCAACAGCTTTAGTTGTTGCCAGCTGTCCGGCACCTCTAAAAATTATCCTCATCCTCATCCGAAGGCAGTTCCTCGCCCAATATTGCACTCTCTCTTCCTTGGAGCAGCCTATGACTGGTAATTGCAGAAGTGCAAAGCCCTACCCTCTTTACTATTCCTGAGGCAACTCTGAAAGGCTTTCAGGTTTAACACTTTCCCATTGGGTCTTCTGAAGCTTTTGCTATAACTTTGTTATGATGGCATTGCATAACATCACCCCCTTTAGGGTAATCATGCTTTTTTGCCTTTCCCCAGAAATGTTTCTTTCCCTTATCCAAGCTTGAAGTCATGGCTGTGTCACTGGCTTCAAGCTAGTAATCTCTATTACGATGTGATTTCATGCAAAAGACACTAAATAAATACATGTTTTGTCACGCTTTGCTTGCAAATACAGGGTCCTATAAGGTTTTAGAAATCAGTGAGTGAAAATAGGAGCAGCCCCACTCTCCATCATTTTCAGTATCTCTCTCAGGGAATTTGTTTCATATTCTCTCACAGTCTTGGTCTGTGGAACTTCCGGTAAGAATTCTGCCATGACGCACAGAAATTTTCTCATGGAACATTAAGTTATGGCTGCCACCAGACCCTTCAGACAATTTGTGCTAAGGAATAGTTTGGTAGTAACAAGAACATTTGACCCCAATTAATGAAAGAGGTAGGGCTGCTTCTACACAATGGAATAATGACTGCATATATTTAGCACT